GATATAAAATACACGAAATAAGTAAAATAAGTTGTTCTCTAAAGTGAATTCGGTTTTGAGATGAAGCACAGTAAGTCAAATTTTATTTTCACTTTAAATTCTGTAATAAAAAGCACCACTCTTTTCCCACAATTTGAAGGAAATACAAACTCTTAATCTTCTATTTATTATTATAAAATGTAGAGAAGTAAATTAATAATGCTAGAGAAGAAAATTTTTAGTTTTCAAAAAATATTTTCAGCTATTCAAAATTTTGACCAAATAAACTTTACTTTGCACAATTTTTGTACTAGTATTTCAGCTTGTACCCAATATTTCAGTAAAATATAGCACTTTTTTTAATCACACAGTATGGCTTATAAAAATGAATTACTAGAAGTTTAAACTTTTCTAGATCCATGCTCTTTATTTTCATGTATTTCAATTATACTCAACAAATAACAATGCATGCAGAACAAAAATATACTGTAAGTTCTTGTTCTGACTATACTGTTAGGGAAATTAAATTGATCGATAATTGTTACTATTTGAAATTATACATAACTGCTGGCTGATTTACAAACGACTTATTAATAAAAGAAGTTTTTTTTAAATATATATATTCAGAAGATAGTTGTCACTTACTTCTAATAATTTGAACATTAAAGACAAGGTTGGTTTGCTATGAGGTAGCAAATGATTATTCGTAGGGAGCCAGTGAATTATTTAAAAAATTGTCTCACAAAGTTGTTGAAAAAAACAATATAATTCAGTGGAAATATTAAATATTGTTTAAATTTTTTTATTATTTTTTAAGGAAATATTTTTTAAGGAAATTGTAATAAAAAAGCAATTTAAAATATATAATTAAATAATAATTTTTAAAAAATATTTTCAAAACAACAAGAATCATATTAGTTGAGCAGCAAAACATTCATTCTTAACCATTGTGATAACAATATTTGATCTATATTGAGTAAATTTGAATACATATTGAGTATATGATAATTTTCAACAATGATAGTTTTATATTTTGTTTGGTTAACAAAAACTTGACCAAAGTCAATTATTAAATTTGAAAAATATTGTAATACACAGCAAAATATGTATGTTTCATGACAATTTATCATAATATTAAAATTCTAATTAGGTCTAATATGGTATATTTTTAAAAAAATTTTCAATAAAATATTGGACAACAGACAAATTTTCATGCTTAAAATATTACATAACAAGAAGTAGAGTTCTCAAATTTAATTTTGAAATTATATGATGAAAATATGGAATATCCTATTTGCTAGTAAATTTAAAAACATTTAATAAATCTCTAAAAACTTGAATAGACGAAAAACTGCAATACCTTTAAATTTAAAAAAAAGCCTTTATGCATTATTATTAACTAAAACACAAACATTGCCCAAGCTGAAGACATTAAGCAGCCTTTGTAGCAGGCCAAAGAAAAAATCAGGACAGCAATAAAAACAGGACAAAATTGGAACGGCAAAGCATTTTCCGGAACAGTTAATTAAAAAGTATAATTTACTCTACTTAATAGTAACAAAATAAAATTTCACAGCAAAAAAATTACTTGTTCATAGCAAAGTTTTAACAGTTTCCAGAATAATTTTATCAATACAGAACAACAAATAATAGTTCCAAATTAAAACATAGAAAATTTGATGGGACTGTTGCATTAAAAAAAAAATGAACAGCATTAATTCGTCAATATTTTACTCATACCAATATATAGGAAATTCAAATGCGTAATTGAGTTGAAGATTTCTTTAATCTAATTAAAGTAGGGTTTCAATAATCTCAAAACTAAAATGCAATGAATATGTTGCTTAACGTTTATGTACAACACTAATTTTAGTGAGCAATCCTCCAACCCATCATTTAAAAGTTTTATGACTGCTTGTTAACTGAAATCACATGAAAGAAAACAATCAAAATTTAGACAAAACTGGGAAATCTTACAAGATTTTCTAATGTATTTGGTGAAAATAATAAGTAAGAATATCACCCTTGAAATCGACATCATAAAAATTTGATGTTGCAAAATTGATTATCAATTTTCCTTTCCATTGAATGACTTAATTCCCAAAGAGGTTGAAACAATGAATCCTCTGGGTAAGGCCTAAATATCTAAGCCTTGTAAATAATCAATAGACAGTCCCTATATTGGAACTATCAAATATTGCGACTTTGACAAGCATTAAAAAAATATATATATATATTGGATCAAAATTTTTCAATTCTTTAAATCTACTTTTTCAAAAATCTGCATTTTTATTCCTGGAAAATCGAATATTCTATACATACATAAAATTCAGGACAAATACAGATAAAATACTTTTTATCGGAAACATCAAGATTATCAGGACAATTACAAACCTTATTTAATCTAATTTTTAAAAACGGCAGTCTTGAGTATAAAAACAAACTGAGATCAAGCGTAAATAGAGAAAACCTGATTGTTCTGCCAAGATATTAAAATGAGTTTGATTTCATACACACATAACGTAACCAACAAACATTTGCAACGATGGGATTATTTTTTTAAATACTGTTCAAATTTTGGTATCTTAAACCCATATCAATGACTATTAATTGTATTCAATAAGCTTATTAGTTATGTTAACTAATAATTGACAATGTATGGATAAAAAAATGTAAAAGAGTAAAGGAAAAAAATTTAGATTGGCTAAGTTCATAAAAAATAATACAGGATATATATATATATAAGTGCTAAATAACTAATTAATCAAACAAATGAAAAATCTAAAAAAAAAATTAATTTTATTTTAAGATTTAGTTTAAGATGCATTAATAAAAAAAATAGAAGCTAGAGTAATGTAAAATGATAAATAACTTGTAGTATTATGTATGCTATTAAATGACATCTGCTCAAGTCAATATTCTTTTCCCCATGCAAATGCAAGTTAGTAAACCTATAGAAAAACCTTCCACTCAATATAATGCAAAAATTTACAAAAGTTGAATAATAAAATAGTTTTCAATGAATCTGTACACATAAATATATTAATACAATGAATTTGTACAGTGAAATATATTAATACAAAAGCAAATTCATTGAAAATGATAAATCATATAAATAACACATTCTTACCTCCACATTGCATGGTGGCCTTATGAAATTCTATGATTATTCTAAAAACTACTAATGTTTTCCTCATTTTCCAACTGAAATATGAATATTTGATATGAATACTTGAATAATAATAAAACAGCAATAAAATCAGTATAGGAGAAGTCACAAAATTCTAACATTAAACATATAGAGGAAATATATGTTGAGAAAGGAATCTGCATAATTTCTCTTCAAGTTCTTATAAAAGCAACAAAATTATAAATAGCAACATTTTATTAGCTAATCTGTTCAGATGTAAACATCAATCTNCATTTTACTATATTAAATTAAAACCTTACTTCAACCTCTCCACTTAATTCTTGCAAAGCTTTCAATTTACTTTCATCCTCTATAAAAGAAAAGAAAAAGAGAAAATTAAAGTTTTGCAATATAAAAATCAATAGGAATTAATGATAGATAAATATAGAAAAAATAAGCTATAATTGCAGGTTACTACAATAAATACATAAAATATATTTGATCAAGGTTTTGCTTTAAAAAGAAATGTGGAGATGATTAAATTAAAAATGAGAAGTAAGAATATTTAAGTATGGTTTTTGATCAAATGCAGATAAATACAATGATTTATTTATTGGTATATGGTTATGTTTAAAATGAGACAAAAAAATATTGAAGAATGATTTTGTATTTGATGCAGATAAGTAAGATTTACTTATAAGTATATTACTTTGGTTATTTTATTTTTATGAATATCAATGAAAGAGAATTATAAACGTTATCAAAATAAAAAAAAACATGAGCCATAAGTATATAGTTATTCATTAAGTACATCTTTAGTACTAAATATATCTACGTAATCTCTATTACTAAATTGCAATGAGAAATTTTTAAGTGAAAATAAATTCTGATTTTTCAATTCTCAATGACTAATTAGGTATTAAACTTACTTGCAACAGGATCTTGGAGCATTGATACATATGAGCTGTAAGCATTCATAACGGCAACAAGATCATTAATGGGTGCTGATTCACTCATTACGGGTATCCCTGCCATGCTTAAGGACTCCAGAAAAAGCTATTCAATGATAAAACTCACCTCCAATTTTAACAATTCTAAAAAATAATAATAATAAATAAATATTTTTAAGAATTTGCATACATTGTAAGGACTGCAATTATTCACAGACAAAATCAGTGACCATGTATTAGAAATTTAAAAAAAAACAGACATTATTCTGTTTTATAAGAACAAGAAATTTTATATTAGAGTTTTCACTTAACACCACTTAAAGCTTCAGTCTTCAGTCTCTAGCCGAGTTATATGGTATAAAATATTATAAATACAGTTAACGCTCAATATAATGACCCCTCTGGTCCAAACAAAAGCGAATGATAAAACATGAGTTTGCTATATCGTGATGATATATATGTAGTGCACATATTTACTTAGATTTTTTACTAGATATCTTTTTAAAGAAGTAGAGTTTCAAGTATTTTGAGATTTATAATCCAAAATCAAGACAATACATAACCACAAACTCATATTATGGAACTATGAATTTAATTTTTGCCCCTTACATGCTCACACTTTCAGATCTGGTCATTTTAAGATAATTTGACAAAAATAGGTATCGTGGTGAGTTTGTTCTTAAAATGCTAAGTACAACATAGGCTAACACTTTAGCGTAGGTACTGATAGAGATAGTACTCATATTCTTAAAATCTTTTTAATAATGGATATTTATTAGGTCTGTAGTACATATTCACACAAACACATAATAACAACTAAGAAAAGCACATGTATACATTTTTAGTGACTTTTTGCTTGTGCCCAGTAAAGCAAGAAGTGTCAGTAGTTATACTCCAACAGCCATGAATTTGGTGACCCTTGATAAGTTTACCCTCACATAAGGTTTATCAATTGTGTAATATTTTCAGATAGATTAACTAAGAAAACAGAATTTTATTTGCAATTATTAGTTAATTTTTATCTAGTACTAATGAGGGGAATATTTCCGTAGCATGATCTGTCATGTCGACTATAATCATTAAAGTTATAAATTTATTTCAAATTTGCAAACTAAAAAAAATAAATAAAACAAGTAGAAGTTTGTCTGAGGATGGCTATGAGTAATATCCTTTAAGTAGGCCCCCTTTTATGATATTTTTTTCAGTTTCTCGGGGACCACTGCCTAAAAACTGCCCAAGTTTGGCATTTATTTAGCTATAGATCAGGATACAGAAATCTTCCCATAATGAGCTACTTGATACAGTAAGGTATAATAAACTTACTGCAATAAGTGATTAAAGTAATAAAAGTTTAATAGGGTTGCAAAAAACCACGGTTAACCAATTTTAAAAAGGGAGGGGGGAAAAGGGTATTAAAAAGATCGGTCATTACAGCAACTTAGGCTCATTGTACTTGTATAATTACGAAGATAAAGTAACTGCTTTTATACCGGCACTGGGTTTATGTTACACAAAATTAATTTCTTAGTAAAATTTTATTTGTATTTAAAAGTGCAATACAAAATTGCTGAGCTTTTAAATAAATAATTCTGAACATGATTATGTTGAAAAATTAAAAAAAACTCTATAGCGATTATTACTATGAGAAATAAAACAAAAGAACTGGCAGAAATCTTAATTGACATTGACTAATTCTGATGCACATACTGGAATATTTCAAACTACCTATTTCATTAAATAATTAAGGGTATGCTTAGTGAAATGTTCATCACAGTCTATTGTTTGTTTGCGAACTGATTTCATAATTATGTAAAGATTCCGGTTGCCTATTTCTGCAAATGTTGCTAACCAGTTCAAATGGAAATGCTAAATTTGTAAAAAGCCATTTGTTACTGCATGCAAAAGTGAATCTCAAAGGCGAGTTCTTCGCTAGTGAATATTCGCTCATAATTTTCACCAATATGAGAAAGAAAGTCTGATTCGGCGAACAACTGGACCACCTACACCAGTGTTTCCCAAAATGTGGTACGCGTACCCCCAGGACTACGGGAACAGTTTAGCTGGGGCACGCGTTCTTATGCGAAATATCTTGCAACAAACGAAAATTTGAAAAAAAAATTATTTAAAAATAAAACTAGCCATGAAAATTTACAATTACGTATCGTTACGAAAAATTTAGAAAGGGTACACAAAAGTCATAAGTTTGGAAAACACTGACCTACCTACACGAACTCCGAGCTTCACGGTTCCACACTGTTCCTCACCCTTTATCTGCAGGAACTCACCGCTTCTTGACTCCTTGTTGGTTCGGATTGCTTTCGGCAGCATTCCTGCAAAAGATTATTCACACTAAATACGAAAAATTCGAATATGTGAATGGTCCAAATTTTAGAGCCATCTGCTGTTGTTGTTGTTAGTTGTTGTTAATTTACGTCGCACTAGAGCTGCACAATGGGCTATTGGCGACGGTCTGGGAAACATCCCGGAGGATGATCCGAAGACATGCCATCACAATTTTGATCCTCTGCGGAGGGAATGGCACCCTCGCTTCGGTAGCCCGACGACCTGCGCGCGAAGTCGAGCACTTTACGGTAGCACAGTTTAACGAGGACCAATACCGCACACCCTCGGTCCCTACGCAGACTGATCCAAGTGGTCACCCACCCGCGCACTGACTGCAGCCAGTGATACTTGACTTCGGTGATCTGCTGGGAACCGTGTCTTAACGATCAGTCCACTGCGGGACTAGAGCCATCTGCGGTGACCAGCTTTGCATCATAGTTCAACGCTTCCTTTGAATTCTCAGCATTAGAATTTTAAATTCAAGTCGAAGGGTTAAAATTTTTTTCAGACATGCTTGCGATGGCGAGTTCATCTGTCTAAAGAAACTCGTCGATTCTACATAGTCGTCCACTACCATGAATCACCTCTTTATGGTTTAATGGAATAAAAGCCGGAAATGGCTATGCTGCGCTAAGTACAAGGGTATAATTTGAAGAAACATGTTATCTAGCATAACTGTTGAACAGTTTAATTACCCTGATGGTTATAAAATATCAAAATCGTTCCTTTTTTATTTTTGTTCCTTTGTCTCATAAGAAGCACATAATCTATATCTATCTTGGTAAAAACGTGTACACGTTATTTAGCATTAATGGGGCAATTGGGATAGTTATAAAAACCTGAACGTAACCTTCTTTTAGCTTTTCTTATTCTCCCAAAAGAACACGTGGTTCAAATTTGAGTATCTATTTCGCATTAGTTATAATTTTAATAACTCATAAAAATAATAATTAATACCAATTACCAACTTGTGTATATTATATTTTTATCTCTGTCTCATAATCACCCCTTAAATACAAAATATCGAATTTAAACTTTTAAAATTTTTCTGTTTACCACAAATTTTAACTTCCTAACTTCCCGCGATGTGAGAAAATTAAGGATGAAAGAGGAAGAGTATTTTATTATATACCGATATTATAACATTCGGTATTACATATCATCCATTATACATCATGTATATGGATTTTCACATCATTATAAAATGTTATTTCGGAAAAGAAAATACAAAATTTGATTGAAATGTATATGCGATGTTTAAATAATACCACGATTGCAATTTGATTTATTCAAAGCATTTGCTTTTTCTGCGCTATGTACAAACACGCTATACATACACATGTACATTATATGTACATTGCGGTAAAAAAGAAAAGAAAAAACGGAACACCAAGAATAACTTCTGATTCAATGATTGAATTTTCACATGGTAAGACTTGATTTTAGTTGTTATACTATACCGTAGTATATATACTATATGCTACTATACGGTATAGTTAGACTATACCGTATAGTAGCAATCTGGAAAATATGCCAGGAGAGCTACCGAAAGCTTGGATTAATGTTAACTTTGCTTTTGCGTATTTCTCCCTATCAGAAAAACTTTTTTTTTAACGAATCAAAATTTTTTCGCATACAATCGTAAAATTCGCTTTTGCTAAGATAATTCCACGAAAAAAAAAATTAATTTTTAATAATTATTGGTTGCTAATTTACGTGTCAGGGTCGTTTTACCGAATCCCTTTGATTCCCCCTTCTTATGGACGTCACCATACCATACCATCAACCATAGACTCCAAACCATAGACTAGATTGGCAGTTCAGTATGAGCCATGATAATCGCCAAGTGAGGGAAGGTTAATGGAAATGAATGGCTCTTTCGTAAAGAATGACCAGTATTCGTTTGTAGTCGTCTGTCGTAGAAGTACTAACAAGGTCAAGCCCCCCTCCCTCCGAAAGGCTGCCTCAAACAAATTAATTCAAAATATTTAAATTAAAACGAATTTTATACTTTACATTTTTTTCTCACATATTTTACAAATGTGTTTCTAAGAATCTAAAATCACTAATATTGATACCATAATGCGCAGATTCATTTTAATGTCAATTTAAATCGCATTTTTTTCTGTCATCGATGTATTTTGTAATGTATGGTACAATTTACCACACATTATAATCTTAAAAATTACTTCTGCAATAAAGAAAAATAATTGTAGCAGTCACCGCCATTTCAAACAATTTCCACGCTTTTGACTCTCATAAAGTAAAAATTATTCAATAATAAAAAATTGAATTTTCATGCACATTTAACAAAGCATTTAAGGAACATTTTGATATGAAAATGTTATTTTTATATGCATCGATTGGGTTTTGAATCATTTAAATGTTTTGAAAATAAAGTTATAAGTACATTTTTTGCATCCACGTATTCTATCTAAGGATATGATGCCCCGCTTTGCGAGAACTTCGAAATGGTTATGCCCGTTAAATTGTAAAATTCGAATTTTTTTAAATTGTTACAGAATATAATTTTAGGAACAAAAAAAGGTCTATTCTAATCAGGGGACTTTATGTTAATATATATTGCAAATAAATACAAAGAAAGTTTTAAAATTTATCCTTATGATTCCCATTTCGCTTCGAAGATGCTTTCAAAGTGAACATCTATGTTTGGTAAAATGCTAATTTCTCCATTTGAGAAAAAGAGTGAGTTCCATCGGCTTAAAAAATAAAATTCAAACAAATATAGTTAAAATTTGTAATGATTTTTCAATTTACAAATTTTAAATTTGAGTCCGAGAAACGAATATTAACTAACTTACATTTTAAAAATAAATGCCACATATGGCTGCTGTTTGTCTGCCTATGTTTTCGTTTCTCTGCAGAGCTGAAAGCAGACTTTTCACCAAAATTTCCGTTTCGCCCTGTAGAAGCTTATTACATATTGGCATACGCCTGCACCGAATAACCTTTCACACAGTTAATTAATTATTGTTTACCACATATCAATGAGAAACACCTTTTTCTTCTACCATTTAAATTTGCTTTTGCTTTTATAGTTAAGAATTTTAAGTCGCAAAAATAGACAAAATAATAATAATAATAATTAATGAGTTAGGAGACCGAATTTCGAAAAGTATGAGTTTTTATTTTATTTCTCAGGATTAATTTGACCGATTTTGCTTAAATTTTGCATTTTGACATTAAAAACTGCATTCTTTCAAATGATGAATAAATTTTATACCTTGCATTTCCGAAGTTTTTCGACTTTCATTAAATAAAATAATAATTAACGTTTACTAAAAGTTATATTTTACATGAAATTAACTTTGAAAAACGAATTGGAATTGGTTGATGTGATTGGAATTTAATGAAAATTTGTTCAATTCGCTTAAAAAAAATTGGGGATATAATGTACTACGAAAAAACTAAAGTTAACATTAAAGGGTCCAAACTTTCAAACGCGCTCCTGAAAAAACTGTTAAAACAATATTTCCTGATTGAAGCTACTACATTTTAGGGGCCAGAAATCCTAATTCGTCGAAAAAAGGTATGTTTAATCAGAGAAACTACAAGTACGTCCTTATGCCTAATTTCCTATCTTAAAATATCGTTTGCACAAATTAATTAGTATATTTGACGTCACCCTCTCGAACCATTAAGAACGAGTCCAAGAACATGAAGATCCGAACTTTAGATCAAAAGTTATTCCAGTGGGTTCATTCAATTTTTGCGCACTGTAGATTTATTTGAAGTATATGTCAATATTGCTGATAATAGTAAAAGATTTTTTCATTTTTATATAGAAAGGTAATTTAGCTGGTGGTTATCAACATATATATATATATGCT